ACCGGTTGGACACGCACCTTCACTTTTTACTAGCCTGAGCTAATCTTCGCATTTCCGTAATATTTCCATATACCTTTCATCTTCATCATAAGGTCGTCAGTCCTATAACTGGTTGGACACGTACCTCCACTCTTTCCTATCCTGAGCCAAACTTTTTCCCTAAAATTAGAACAACCCACATCCTTAACTATTTGCGAACAATAATCTAACCTATGTATACCTCTACCCCTCCTAACTCCTGTTTTTGCTTCTAATATATCTCTGACTAGACCTTCGTGCCTGAGAAGGTGTCCTACTAATCTATCTCGCCTATGTTTTATTGACTTCCATAGAGCCCTCTGTTCTCCTATTCTTTCTAATACCTCTTCAGTTCTAACCTGTTCTACCCACGTTATCCTCATCATTCGCATACAATACCACATTTCGAACGCTTCTAACCTTTTCTTTTCCGCCGCGCCCACTGTCCATGTTTCGCACCCGTACAATGCCGCGCTCCAAACATACACCTTTAACAATCTTTTTCGAATTTCTAAATTAACCGTTTGCGAGCACAGAAGTGACTTCTTTTTATTAAAGGCGACAAGATCCTGCGCTATCCTCTGCTTTATATCCCTATTACTCCTTCCGTCCTGACTTACCTGAATTTCTAGGTACCTAAAATCGGTTGCTTCTTCCAATTTTTCGGCTCCTGTCTTTATATTCGCTCTTTCCCTACTTTTTCTCATCTCCCTTATATTTTCACTTTAGAATGATTGCTTCGATCACATTGTTCAGTAATTGTTTCATTGTTAGCCGCGGATGTGGTTGGTTGATATTTCAAAACATTATGACCACCGATCCTACTTTTATTTGAAGATTATGAGGTGGCAATCCTGACAAATCCAGTGAGTTCAAAAATTCTGGTGGATAGTTGACGGCATCAGTCATAGATTAAAATCCATACAGCCTAATCAACTTGAAGACGTACTAAAGATAATCCTTGTTTTGATTGATGTCAAATGTTTGACAGCTAGTGACAGTTGTTTTAATTTACTTAGTGGTTTGTATGGGAAAAGAAAAGTGAGGTTTTTAAGTATTTCTGGGCATTTTTTCCAATTTTTCTCTTCATAAGAATTCTGACTTCAAAGGGAACATTAAGAAAAAAAAAGGAAATTATCGAAATTAGTCCAGCCAGTTTTGCGCTTAGCAACACATTTAGCGATTCATTTTTATTTATATAGAAAATAGATGACTTAACTAAGGTATCTACATGTCTAACTTAATCAAAAACGCAGCTTATATACGGGGTGTCCGATTTTTAGTAGTTTTATGGGGTATCTTCCTTACATTAAAAAAAAAGTGTTGCGGTTTTCGCGACGGTGTGAAACATACCGTAGAAATCTTGTAGAATTCATCCGTATACTATAGTGGTATAGTCAGATTTTTCTTTCCTTTTTTTAGTTATAACGGAAACATACGTTCTTTTTTCAATGGAACCCCCTGTATATTATTTTGTATATTTATTAGGCGTAATGTAAGCTTTTCAAATAAATTACATACAATTATTTATAAAAACAAGCTTAGAATTTATGGTTTTCTAGAGTTTTCTTTTGTGTCGAATTAGTATGTGGGTAGTAGATTACGATAATCTGTTTGAATCGAAAAGCAAAATGTCACCTCTATAAATTCCACGTGGTTTAACATTTATACCTCGACGTTGCGGAACATTGAATACTGTTTTGCCAATGGTACTTACAACAAATAAATATACTAAAGAATTCTTTGGCAGACTGGTTATCTGGTCCAATGGATCTTATTTCTAAGTGGGGGTATTTTCAATCGCCATAATAAACACAAGTGGAGTTGGCGTCTCGTGGTTCTCCTTTGGAACAAGTATATTCTACAAAATTTTTGAAGAAAATCTCACAGCACATCGATACCGAGAAATCCTTGAGAAAGTTATTTCTGAACGGAAAATTTTCCATTAGCCTTTTATAATGCTGTTTATTTTCAACAAGATGGGATTCCAAGATAAGTCGGCTCTGTTAAGAATATTTTTTAGACGATAACTTTTCTCAAAGATGGATTAGTAACCACGGACCTGTAAGATGTCCCACTCGATCTCCGAATCTTTAATCTAGTCATGCGATATCAGTTTGTAGTAGGATTTCGTGTGGTATTTAATGTTTCGAAATTTGCAAAGACGTATGATACTTTTGAATGCTATTAGAAGAATACCGAAAATGTGCCAATTTCGTACACTGCAAAATGACCGTTATTTTCAAAATCACCTTTTAAAAACTATTTACTTCTCCTTTCTATCTCTTTTATTTTTTTTTTAAATTTAAACTTTAAGTAAGATTGGTAATTACTGTTATTTTTAGTGTAAAATTCAAACATTTTGTCAACATGCTGCAATAAATAATCAAATTGACAATTAAAAAAATCTTTTAATTAAGTTTAAAAGTATTACATCTCTAGTGTAATAATTACGTTCATATATTTTGATTTTATTAACATAAGCCATAACCTACTACCTGTTTATTGGGCATAAAAAAATTTTTAGAACTAATAAATACAAAAATTATATAAACAAGGTGTGCTGTTGACATTTGGGCTTATACAGGGTTTTCTATTAAATAAACATATATTTGTATTATAACTAAAAAATACTAACTGGAAGGTGCAAGACAAAATTTGACTATGCCATTGGATTCTACGGAAATGAAGAATACGTTTTAATTTCCTCGATAAGTTTTAAGATAACTGAGATAAGGGGCGTAACTCGAATGTGATACTTTTCAACACCACTATGTATCTCCAAAATTAAAAGGGATATGAAAACTCTGCTGGGAGCATCTTCAATTTCCCAAAGAAATTGCAATTTGTTGTAAAAGCCGCAACCCCCTATCTTTAAAAATAAGGAAGACACCACGCAATAGTGTCGAAAACGGGTAGTTGCAATAAATTACTAACCAGGAGCTTATACCCACCGTTCTTATTTATTTGGTTTATGTGATGCCTATCACGTAGTAAGATCATTGTCTAATGCCATAGATTTGAAACACTCCAGTTAACAATAAATGCCAGTTTATGGTAATATACTGTCATATCTAGATACTATACCAACTTGCTTCTAAAAGGTCGATTCATTGGGTGCATTCAGTCTCTTAACTTTTTTCTGCAGATTCTTTGTTGCAGAAAAGAAATTTCCATGAAAATAGGGCAACTTTATGATGTAATTAGTCTTTACTATTTTCTACATACTGTGCAATTTTAAATTAGTGTGATTTGTGACTGATCGATAAAATAATTAATGTTCAAAAAACTTTGTTTAGTGTTTTAAGAGAAATTCAGGTTTTTGTAAATTTAGACGTCTAGGGACTGACACATATACATTGTAGCTACGGACTGATGAAAATTATGCTGATATACTGTAATATAAGATTTTTTAAGGCAATTAATGTAATAAAATAAGACTCCTACACAGGCATAGCTTCACTTTTATTAGGAACGTATTTTAGACAGTATCATTATTAATTAACTTAAAAAATGTTAATCAAGTGTAGCTTTAGCTAAAATTCTTTAAGATAAGGTAAAAAATAAAACAAACCAGGCCCTTTGCTCTATGAAGTAATATATAACAAAAAAGGTTCCTTGATTATAAAATAATCAATCTCAATCGATCAATCAAGCGAGGGACTGACGGGTTAGGGACTGACGATTCAGAAGAAAACCTACGAATACTCTGTTCGGTTATATTAACCACAATACCTAGCATCATTTAATGAACAGGGCTTACAAAACAATACTAAATCGTTGACAATTAAAAAAAATGGCCTACTATTTAATATAAAAATTACTTACCGATTGACTGACAAAGTCACTGGAACAAGGCGTGCTAGCCATTTTACGCCGCGGTTGTAATGAATTCCAAAATGGCCGACACAAGGCGAGCGACATTTGCAGATAACTTCATGTCTATACTTTAAAATGAACTGATTCTCATTCCCTCATTCACGATAAAAACCGCATAATTTCAAAATTCCTAAGCGGCTAGAGCATAACGGTTAAAGTCGCGGACACAAATTTAACTTACATAAATGTAATGTTTTTCGAAATATTGTTATTTTATTGATGTTATTAGGTAAATAGTCATATTATTAAATGTCTTCAATAAAATAAAAGTGTATAAACGGAATTCTTAAGATATTGGTGGCCAAATACAAAATTTTGGTAGGCGGACACGGCTAGGGCCTAATATTTGTGGTAGTAAAAAAAGTTTTCCAAAGTATAATTCTAAATTATTTCAAACATTTTGAGGGAAATAAATAAAATACATTTTAAGCTGTTACCTATTAAGTAAAAAGTAAAATTTATTTAATCTAATGCAGTGAAAAATGCCTGGGGACATAGAGTTTCCCTATTTTCATGGAAGCACATGCAGGTAAAATTCGTGGAGCAGATCGGTAATAAATTCATAATTTTAAGCGGTCTATTTATCGAATATTCTCGTAGGTATATGATATATGTGTAAGTGTATGTATGTATATTGTATATGGAACTGTATCAACACAACGCATTTATAAAACATTTTTGAAATTGCGATACGGGGAAAAGAATTTTTATACAGCATTTTGGAATGCTTTCACATGCTGACGTTAATGATGCAATTTATTAGTCTTTACCGAGGCCGGAGAATATTGATGAAACTCATTTCCTTCCTCAGAATCCATTATTAAAGAAGAGATAAAAAAGTATTTTCGCATTCGAAACTGTGGCAGGCATCAGTAGCAAGATGAGATAGAATTTAAATGAATCTCTTAACTTCCTTAATAAGGGCCCTTACAAATTTAAGTCTAATTCATCCTTTTGTTGCGCTTGCTGAACTGCATGATGAGTTCAGTACATTTGCATGTCGAAACTTCTTTTGGCCCCGAGTTCAGTTCAGTCTAGTGTTTGTTTACACAGCACTGGTTGCGTTGCGTTATCCTGCTGATTTTCTCAGGTACCTCCAGCAAGCAAAACAGCCAGCCAGGTACAGTGAAGTATAGATTTAGTAAAATGCGCACACGCGACCCTGATTCTGCCATCTACCACGTTTCAGGGAGGCGTTCCAGTCAGTTAGCTCGTACCTGCACCGTAGCTGAACTGGTAAAATTGAATATTAAAATTAACCCTATAAACCAGTGGTAAATAATCAAGATATGGTCGATTGAAGTTCAAACGCAATGTAATAAACGACCAACAGAACTATACAGCTCAAAATTTTAATATAGAATAGAAGTAAACTTTATGATGGGGTCGAAATTCCATATTAGTTTTATTGCGCGTTGTATATATTGATGTGAGTGAATTTTGGAAACGAAAATGCATAGTTTAGCCATAATTGCTGTTACCACAACTTTGATTTATTCCGGTAAGTTTTTTATTAAATGTATTGTATTGTTGTGTAGAAATGACTAATTGTATTTGTTCATTTAATAAATCAACCCGTTACTCAAAGAAACAATTACGACTTTAGGTCAAACCTTTTGACATATGAAGTATTCCTACCAATTTTTACTTGTGTGTTTGTAGATGGGTACCTGTACCTACATGTAAATTACAGAAAACATTAATATAATTTTTTAGTTGCCCGTGTTTAACTAACTAATACTAACTACAATTAATAGCACATTATTATTTATTAATATAAATCATTCTAGATAATACATTTATTTAAGCTTCTTACAATTCCATTCTAACAAAAATAAAAATTGGGTCACATATGAGGGTACCTACAAAGAGCGATTTTATCATTTCAAGTGGTTCGTTTTACAAAAAAAGTGTTGAATGTAGCGGAAGTTGACATTTATCAACTGCAACTTTTCACAATGAAGCGACTAAAATGAGTTGTTGAAATTAAAGTTTGTTTAACGACAAGCATTTACAGGAAGAATAATATTAACAAACTAAGCACTAAGAGGTTTTGCTTAGGATTACTTTGTCATCAGTCTGTAAGTCCATCGGGATCCTTTTCTCCAGGGGTATCCAAGTTAAACAAATACAAAATTTTATATACTCATATTTCTGTAAAAATCAAATAGTTTAAAGTTGATTTTTTAAAGTGTATTTTCATACTCTTAAACTAACTTACTAACTAACTGACCTATCAAAGCCTGTAAGACACTTCCCGCTGACCTAGAATCTCGGAATTTGGCACGAAGAAACAGGTAAAGCGACGCTAACGCTGCGAACTTTTTTTTTAAATCGACTTTTTAATTAAGCTGAAATACGTAGATTAAATAGAAAAGATAGAGTTAGAAGAAGCAATAACGAGATTACGATCGTTAGTAAAACAAAAGGTATGGGGGCCAGGTGGGTTACCAGAAGAGGGCGTGGATATATTCGGACGATATTCTAAAGGATAAAGTATACGATATATTTAATGCAACATGGGTTAAAAATAAATTACCGAAATATTGGAAATGTGGTGTTATTGTGCCAGTGCCTGGAAAGGGAAATTGAAATAAATAATATTTTCAGCGAAGCAGTTTGGATTTAGAGCGGGAAGAGAAACTATTGATGCGATATTCTTGTTAAAAAACGTAACTCAAACATATATGGAAATAAAATAAAATCTTTTGTAATCTTTGTAAATTTAAAAATGGTGTCTGATTCTGTTGACAGAACGGAATTGTTGAGTATGTTAAAAAAGAGTAAAATTGAAGAAGGGTTGGTAGTTATAATTGTGGAGATATATAGAAAAGCGGTAGGGATTATAAGGGTAGGCAATAAGGAGACAAAATATTCTGGATGAAAAAAGGAGTAAGTCGTATTGATTAGCATAAAAATTGTCATTTCGTCGTACCTAAATGAAATTTCCACTACCTTAATCAAAACTTTTTATAACTGCAGAAAATTATAAGACTACACCCTTTTGTCGGGCTGAAATTATACACGTCTGTATTTAGGAGATATGATTAGTTGCAATAAAAGAAAAACAAACTTGGAAGTATTAATAAATAAATCATATGATCCGCACGGTAAGAGCCGTTTTGACTGGGAACATCAATTTTGTATGTCATAAAATTTGCATTTATCGATTTACGTACATCAAAGATATTGTATATTCATCTATAACATTTTTTCACAGAAGGAAAGTACTATCGCTTAGGTGTACGACATAATTACGTAAATATTTTTTTTGGTGCTGTACCTAAACATAAATGTTGTAATTGTGTAACATATGATAATGTTTTTTTGGAGGTTGCTTGGATTTCTATATGATTTATCAGCGTTATCACAAGATTTGTTCAGCTATAGTTTAGGAAGCTAACCCGCAAAAAAAAACATGTTATCTCCCAACTTTCTACCGCCTGTTACGTCAGCTTTTTAAGTAATTCAGAACATATTTGCTTATATTACCGGAAATGTCAAATTACTAAAAAATGGCCCAAGCAAAATTTTTGCCACTATAGTTCCATCGATGAACAATAAATAATACTCCATTTTGTTAGATCCCATCCTTTTTTTGTTCACCCACGGGAAAATGACCCATGATTTTCTGTCACTACTTTTCAAGGAATGTGGAGTATTTTAAGTAAATTATACCATTAAGACCAAGCGGTTAGGCTGACGTCTTTTTCCGATTTCAACTTCCCCCTTTATATCGAAATGGATCCAGATTGCGTCTATATATCATATAGGAAAAGTTGTTCTAAAGTATTTAAAAGGCTGATATAGCAGACGGCAGGAGGTTGGGACGACATGGTTTTTTGCGCTTCAGCTTCTTTACTAGCATATTTTACTAAAAATGACACCTTTTATGGAGATGCCAAATTTCACATAGAAGAATAACGAATTACTGTTATTAAAATTAGGATGGGTGAATAGCTTCATCATCATCATAAAGTCGTCAGTCCTGAGACTGGTTGGATACGCACCTCCACTATTTTCTATCTTCGCATTTCCCTAAAACTAGAACATCCCACATTCTTAACAATTTGTGAATAGTAATCTAATCTAGATCTACTTTTACCTCTCCTAACTTCCGTTTCTGCCTCTAATATGTCTTTGAATAGACCTTCATGCCTGAGAAGGTGTCCTATTAATGTATCTCGCCTATTTCTTATTGACTTCTTTAGAAAGAACAGAGGACTCTATCTCTGTTCTCCTACTTTTTTTTACCTCTTCATTTCTAACCTTCTCTGTTCACAGTATCCTCATCATTCGCCTGTAACACCACATTCCGAACCTTTTTTTTCTTCCGCGCCCACTACCCATACACCTTTAACAAACTTTTTCGAATTTCTAAATTAACCGTTCGCGAGCACAGAAGGCGACTCGACCCTGCGATATCCTCTGCTTTATATCCTTACAACTCCTTCCGTCCTGACTTATCTGACTTCCTAGATACCTAAAATCGGTTGCTTCTTCCAATTTTTCGTCTCCTATCTTTATATTCGCTGTTTCCCTACTTTTTCGTCCCTTGCATACCATTATTTTTGTTTTACTTTTATTTATTTTCATACAGTACTGTTTTGTCAATTCCGCTTCCATTTTATTTAAAGATATCTCGATCTCCTCCTTGCTAGATGCTAATACCGAATAGCTTATGATAAATAAATAAAGGAAACAATTTTATTTCCTAGCAAAATGGAAGGCAATTTCCAAAAGTGAAAAAGGAGTTTTAGTGGGAAAAATTAACTGATTTCTTTTTAATTGGTTTTCAATTTCTTTTAGTAAATTAGTTTGAAAAGAAAAATAAAAGAAGAAGAACGATAAGGATTAAATAATTTGTAAAATTATCAGTACCTATTCTTAGCTAGCTATAGGTAAGTACTTAAACAATATCACAAAATAGTTTTAAATTGCAGATAATATGTATTTCATATTCACAAGTGTATTACTGCTTTTTTGCTTTTATAATTATTCACTTTGTGTTAATATGCACCTGAAATATATTTCTTATTAATATACTATAACAATGAACTTATTTGATGATTCTATTTGCCGATATTGGCGCACATTTTAAGGAATGTGTCTTATGTTTTTCATCTATACGTATTTTTAATATCCCAACAATTTATTTCACGTTGATCGGAATTCTTGAGGTATTGATAAAATAGTAGGGTTCATATTCCGAAGCCAAGAAATTTAAATGAGCAGCGACGTAGAAACTTGCGCATTGGGATAATATGATTGAAAACCGTCATTAACTGGAAATATTTTCTTTTCATTGTCCGTATTTCAAGATGAATGTTATTACCGAGCATATAGACGCTTTATAGTATAAGTAGTTGTAATCGGTGAATTTCTTCTAAACTTACTTTTCATTTTATTAAAAACAGTTTAATACAAAAATGACCCTTTATTTGCTTCGGAAAGCTCATGGTGGTCAATATTTTCTCAAAATAGTTAGCGTGGGTAGCGATTTCTATCTTTTTGGATCGCTTCAGCACGCCGTAGATATATAGTTCCAACGGAATACGGTATAACTCGGCCTGCTGTCTTTAGATAGTGATTTATGAATTGCTATGAATAGTAAACGGTATTTCTAGTAAATTGCTACATTTCAAAAATGTTTGTCAAGGTCCATAAGGATATCGACTTGCCGAACTGAACCCACGTGTCTACTACGTAGACCAAACTTACTTATTTGCTTATACAAACTACCTTGTAGGAGATATTGTTTGTGTTTGCCCTTATATGAGGTAAATGAGGTCATCCCATATGAGGCTACGGATATGGTTGCCAAGTGATTGATTAAATACCGTAAATCTACCTTTAGAAGCTATAATCATTTTATTGTGTACTTACAATTGTTCAATAAGATCAAGCGGAGCACCTTGTACTTCACTACCGTAGCCAGAGGATAGGTAGAGGGGTGGTCGAATCTCCCGTCTCTTCCCGAATTTTGTGATGAAATGTAAAAATTTTAAGAAAAATTACTAACTAATTGCTATGAATTCAACCCAATTATAAACTTTGAAAATTTCAGTATTTATTCAAAGAAAGTCAACTTATCAATATTAGAAGAAAAGTTTGATCTGTGGAAAATCTACTGGTCAAAAAAAATTCAATAGATCGTCTATCATGCGCTATTGAAGCTCTAGGAAAATGCGAGAAAGAACTTTTTCCTTTTTTCAAATACCTTTATATTTGTATTGTTAAAAGTATATGCATCCCTACCATTTTCAACAGTGAGAAGATTATAAACATATTTGAGAAATTCGTGTGGTCAAGAACAACTATTTGCGGGGTAACTGCTATGGTTATTTATCGTGATATTGATATGCTCACCGATAATATAACTGATATTTTTGCATTAAAAGTCAGAAGAAAATGTTTGATTTTTTAGTTCATTAGTATTAATTTCAAAAAAATAGTTAGCATTTTAAAAAATTATTTTATAATTATTCATAAGATTTTTTA